TCTCTCTCTCTCTCTCCCTCTCTCCTCACAAGAGTCAATTTAGACGCTATTTTTATTTACCATTATCGGTGGCACTTGATAATGGTGAGCTGCAAAATGATGTGGAAGCCACTTCTAAATGCTGAGAATGTCATAACGTTTAGTGACTTGTCAGCGTAAAAGAGCTGACAAAATCCTGCGGCTTGAAATAAATCAAACTCCCTATTTACGCGTTTCATTTAATGCTAAATATAAGTCATAAAGAGCTCTTATCATGTTTATAGGCAGTCCCTTCAGGATCCTAAGCACATATTGGGAAATCCAAAACACAGTTGTCATTGTTAATGTTTTACACCCCCATCGAAAAAAATAGACCACTTAAGTGAGTGGTTGGGGGGTGATCTGGTATGGACTGATCATTTCTTCCTATCAAATGTCTGTCGTCCTTAGTTATCTCTCCTCTTACTCTTTGTGTTTATTACTCTCTTGTAACACTTCTAATCTTCGACACTTATATGACCTAATTGTGTTACAAGTGCCGTAAAACTAGAACATAAAGCCAAAGACCACGTAAAAGGTCAGGCTGTCTTAGCCGAGACTGTAAAAGCCGACTCTTGCAAGGGTGCTTAAATTTTAATATCATGTAATAATGTCCCTGAAGACAGACGGAGACGCTCGATTTAGAGAGAAAAAAAAAAAACGTCTTCTGCGAACGAAGGTGAAGAGTCTATCTGTTGTACTCAGACACTGGCACGTAAAAATCATAACAATAAAAATAAAATATCATGCCACAACCCCAAAGGATTGTATAAAGGCGTTAACCACGTAAAAACACACGGCATTGTAGGAAAATATGTATATATACACAATGGTGCAGCATTCTAAAACTACATAAAACCTCTTCTGTTAGTAGCGTCACGAGATCCTTTCTTCCTAGAAACACGACGTCTTTATAATATTGCTATTGAGATCTACTTCTTTTTTGTTCTTTTCCTTTTTTCATTTTTTATTTACTATTTGCTCTCTCGTGACATACTTGGAGAGGAACGTTGCAGCATAGCCCATCCATTTAGAAAACAAGACGCATCTGTGAAAGTAACCAGTAACGTCTTTTAAAATGCATCAATTCATTCCAAATGCGGACACTCAACAAATATCAATATTTGTCTTTAAAAACAAGGGGGGGGGGGGGTATTTGCCTGTGAACAAAAACAAGGGGCGCTTTCTCACGGTTTAACAGTCTTTCTTTTTTTAAGGGACTGGATACGATAAAGAGAATGTTCAATGGGTTCCTGGGAAGTGAGGGAGACAACGGCAGCAGGGTAACTTCAGGGAAACTTGCATTATAACATCCTAGATCATGCACTTTGACATACTTCCGGTTTTCTAAGGAGCGCTCCATTTCACTAATTCACCAACGTTTTTATGCGAAGTGAAGAGCGGCAGCAGCTGTAATAGTGCTCGATCTAGAAGTCTATGAGTCATGCAAACGGTTTTGCAGCTCAAAATGACAAAAGCCATGTATGCCTCTATGCACTTTCTGCACCACGATAACTAGCCTTGGTTAAATAATTGCGTGGAGTAAAGACGCCATTATTGTGATAAGTGAACTTTCCACATGCTGCAAGTTTAAATTTGAGAGTTTCCACATTTTATGAAAAGTTAATAAAACATCAATGTGAGAAAGGGTTATAGATATTAGATTATAAAATCGCCAATTGCCAGTGCTATCGATTTATCTTGATTCAGCGTAGATGGATGTCGACTCGTCTGAACGCTTGAATTACAAAAGAATTCGGTGCGCACGGAGGCTGGGGAGATGCCTTCTTTTAAAAATGTAAAAGTGCAGCAAACGTGTTGTTATTTTTGTCGGTCTGAGCTTAATGTGGGCAAACTGAATGTTTCTGCTGGATCGACAAGCCACATTGATTTCTCAGTCTATTTTCTATCAACATACACTTTTTTGGAATGCTGTTACGCTTGATTGAATAAGATTCGTTTGAAGCTTGTAAAACATAAAAATTATGTCCATTCAACATGACTTTGAAAGGTGTTTGCTTTGGAAAGCTTTGGCTTTAGGGGTGACGATAAGGAAAAAAACCGGGAGAGTGATTCTTGGAGTAAATAAGAAATGTAGCAACGAATGTCCATATTCTTGCATTTAACGGAGGAGGAGGAGGAGGAGGAGGA